CGGATTTGCTCGGCGGAAGAAACACAGATGGCGGCGGCGCAGCGCCATTCCGGGCCGGGAGCAGGCAGCCAGCAGCCCTGTCCTCACCGCGGTCCGCCCGCCGCGGCTAAATACCCGGATGCGCCGCCCGAGCGCCAGACGCGGCGCTGGCAAAAGGGAAGCGGAGGCGGCAGAGCCGGGCGCTGAGCGAGCGACGGAGCACCAGCGCGGGGCCAGCACACCCAGCCCCGCAGCCTTCCTGCGAGCGCGGGAGCCGGAGGGGCCGCTCGGCCCGCGCCCCTCGGAGGCGGACTCCAGGCAGACCTGGTGGTCAGGGACTGAGACGGTCCGGACTTGACGTCCCTCAGCCTCAGCCGGCAGCTGGGCCATTTCAGTCCGCCCCTCTTCTTCAATAGCAGGATCAGGTGGCCGACCATGACGGAGAACTCCACGTCTGTCCCTGCAGCCAAGCCCAAGAGGGCCAAGGCCTCCAAGAAGTCCACGGACCACCCCAAGTATTCAGACATGATCGTGGCTGCCATCCAGGCAGAAAAGAACAGGGCTGGCTCCTCGCGCCAGTCCATCCAGAAGTACATCAAGAGCCACTACAAGGTGGGTGAGAATGCGGACTCCCAGATCAAGCTGTCCATCAAGCGCCTGGTCACCACCGGGGTGCTTAAGCAGACCAAAGGGGTGGGAGCCTCAGGCTCCTTTCGGCTCGCCAAGAGCGATGAGCCCAAGAGACCAGTGGCCTTCAAGAAGACCAAAAAGGAAGTCAGGAAGGTGGCCACCCCCAAGAAAGCAGTGAAACCGAAGAAGGCTGCTTCCAAAGCCCCCAGTAAGAAACCCAGAGCCACTCCCGCCAAGAAAGCCAAGAAGAAGCCGGTTGCCACGCCCAAGAAAGCCAAGAAACCCAAGACGGTCAAAGCCAAGCCAGTGAAGGCATCCAAACCCAAGAAGGCCAAATCTGGGAAGCCCAAGGCCAAGTCCAGTGCTAAGAGGTCCGGCAAGAAGAAGTGACACTGGGGCCCTTTTCTGTGGACCCTCATTCCCACCTCTTTCCTCTGTAAATACTTCCTGCCCTCTCGCTCTGGTCTGTAAGCCTTTGCCCCCTTCTCTTTGACTTGATAAAGAGACAACTTGGACTCCTCAGACATAAGGACAAATCGATTTCTTTCTGGAACCAATCATGCAAGGCCAGCAACAATAAATCTCATCTCTCTTGATG